AAACACATATACACCCAAACTTCCAACTTTTAATTGCTCTGTCCTTCTGGCTCCTGTTGCTAAAAAACTGTATTTGACTAAGGATGACTGTATCTGTAAAATCTTCTGATGGTTACATTGTTGCTTATCTTTTTCAACAAAGACAGCCAGCTTTACATAGGCTGACCACAGCTACACATTCAACCAAGTTTAGGTGGAAAATATTTGAGGGGAAAAAAAAGCTGTGTCCATACTGAACAAAAAGACTATTTCTCTTGGCATCGTTCCCTGAAATATATGGTATAACAAATATGTACACAGCATTTACATTGTCTTAGGTAAGACCATCATCTAGAGGTGATTGAAAGTATACAGGCAGACACCATTTTATAAAAGGGACATTTATGGAATATGACAACTGCAGTTTCCTCCTCCTGTAAAATATGCACACATGCATGCAGGCACACATGCATATACCCTCTCAACTCTTTTCCAACAAAAAAGAAAGTTTATACCAGAACAGAAATGATGGCAAGAACCTTGCTCAAGTGCTAAACACAAACATATCTCTACCCAGAATCAGATCTGATGAGCGGAGTTTATTCTTACAGAAAAGGGCCTATTTTTAATTCACACTATCACCACTTGTCAAGTAACACTGTTGTTTCTCCACTGCTGCATAATCACATAATGCAAGCCCCAGATGTGATTCCTGTACACAAGAGGGCAGACTCCGAGGTGATACACAACCCTTTCTTTATTTGCATTGTTAACAGTGTTGTAAGGGAATGGGCAAAATGTTCTATGTTGAAAAAAAGATGCATAAAAAAATAAAATTTCCTGTTCGGTGTTTAAGAACAATGTGAGATAATCAACTAGTATTCTTGGACTGTACGTGACAACCATTCCTGCCACCATATGACTCTATACACCATGAAGCTAGGGTACCATCGTTAGCATGAAATCCTTCTACCTACAAGCTTTCCTTTCCTAGCACAGTTCACCATCCAGGCACAATGACTACTGATTATTCTCCAAACACAATACCAACAACACTGAGGGTCCTGGTCTGTTCTTTCTGTCTTACTCTTGATTGCATCCTTCCCCTAATCTACATGGTAGCACTTAGTTTACAGTATGGAATGAACAAACATCTGCCTTCCCAAAGACTACAGGCCAAATGTCGAACTTCTAAGACTTCAGCACAGATCATGGTACCTGCCACAATGTACAAGTTCAATTATTATGTACTGAGAGTCCTCTGAAATAGTTAATGAAACCTTCACTGAACTGGCTTATACATACTACTTTCCAAACATCACTGCCATAAGAAAGCTGAGTACCTCTCAAATGTCAAATACTCCAGACTAGAGGAGCAAAGCCCCATCAACTCTAATGAATTCTATGATGAGACTGCATGCCTAATACATGCCAATGACATTCCTGTTTCCCAGAAAAGAGAGGTATCTCATACTAGCCCCCAAAGCAGTACATACTGCTTCCTCCTGAGAATCTGTGGTACAAAGACACGTTCCCCTGGTTCACAGACCCTGAGGAAGGCCAACATCTTGTCTCAACTTTTCACTTGACCTCCCTCAGATTCACAACACTTAGGACCAGAGCATAGATGCTCTCCAGGGAGGGTTTTCCAAGTTGGTGTTGAATGGCAAATGTAATAATATTTCCTAGTTCCCATCTTTTACCCCTAGGCTATATTGTACCTATGAGAATCAATCTATAAAGCCTTAATAGTAGAAATAAAGCTTTATGCCGACCATTTTTCCTACACCACAATAATAGCTCCCATTATACTACCTAAATATTCACTACACATGACTAAAGGGTCACAAATACAGTCTAACCTCAGAATCCAAGGCAATGAAGGACTCAGGCAGGTTCACAAGTTCAACAGTATAACTTTGGACCTTTTAGAATATGTAAGATTTAAACCTCTGTGTGTGTGTGTGCGTGTGTGTGTGTGTGTACTGGTACCTGAACTCAGAGCCTAGGTACTGTCCCCTAGCTTTCTTGCTCAAGGCTATCACTCTACCCTTTTACCACAGCTCTACTTCTGGCGTTTTTGTTGGTTAACTGAAGATCAGAGTATCACAGACTTTCCTGCCCAGGTTGGCGCACGTGCGTGCGTGTGTGCGTGTGTGTGTGTGTGCGTGCGTGCGTGCGTGTGTGTGTGTGTGTGTGTGTGTGTGCGCGCGCGTGTGTGTACTGGTAGGGAGATCAGAGTATCACAGACTTTCCTGCCCAGGCTGGCTTTGAACTGTAACCCTCAAATCTTAGCCTCCTATGTAGCTAAGATTATAGCCATGAGCCACTGGTACCCAGCTGAAAACCTAAATCTTGATGACATTTCCCCTTGTGCCAGTGTTCTCAAATAGATATTGTCTCCTTAGATTCTACCTCTTACCTTTCATGTCTTCTTACCTCAGCTTTCAGAACCGTGGCTACTATAGGTAAGGCTGGCTCCTGTGGGTAGAGCTGGCCAATAACAGTTCTTCAGGGAAATACAATTGTCCTCACATACTGCTGGAAGAATCCCAGACACTAATGATTTAATACTGTTAAAAGTATAGAAAGCAGAGCTACTACCCTGTCAAATGTTATGCTCACATCTGGGTAAGGTATGTACTTTTAAGGGAATGACAGCAAGAAATTTTAAGTTTGATGGAGTTGATTTTAGGTATGTTTTGAAGTGCAGTGACTTTTATAAAGACTGTGTGGAGTAGGCAGACCAAAAAAAAAGCCAAAAAAGGAAATTCTTTATAAACTGTTAGGGAATTTAAAGCTAACATGGCTCACTGTCCAAAGGGTCAAGTTTTCAGGAGGTCTGTCCTGCAAAAACACAGGACCCTTGTAAACTTAGAAGCAGAAACTTAAGTGTGCAGAATTCCCCACAAGGTTCAGTCAAAATGACAATTCAGATATACGCATGCCCATCATTTATGCAATGGAATGTCACAAATTCAAGCACAGATCATGAGCAATAAAGATAAGCCATAGTCTCTCCTACCATCAGTCCCTGGTCCAGTGCTTCCTTCATCGGTGGTGGTGAAGAAAACCAGACACACACCCACACCCCCCCCAAGTGTCCTGCATCCTGCATGTAACTGAAGGATAGACACACAGCAGGACACAACCTTCTGCCTTCCACATCAACATGAAAGCACAACTCAAGGATCCAGAACCAAGAAAAACCTTGGTAACATTCCCCAAGATATTATAGGCCACACCCAGTAAACCTCCTTAAGCCAAGAAGGCCGGTAATTGCTGGCAGTTACTGCTCACCCCAGACTAGTGGATTCTTTTCTTTAAAAACCACTTTATCCTACCAAGGGATTTGTCTTTCCCTGCCACTCTCAAAACTTGACAAAGATCTAAATTTGAGTGACTTGTGCCTCTCTATTCAGGTTGTTTTCCTTCTTGGAATGGAATTAACAGAACCAAGCTCGATAAATGTGTGTTCTTCTCAAGCAATTTTCACTGAACTAAGGCACTCTTGAAAAATGAAGGTTCATAAGAGATGTGTGAAACTTCCTCAGGTTTGTTTTGTTTTGTTTTTATTTTACCACCAGTAAGGTCCCAGCATGCCAAGAGTAACTCCTTCATGTCACCCATTTGGGAGAACTGAGAAAAAGAAATCAGCATTGGTTCTTTTCCTAATTTAGAGCTTGCCTTTATCTTCAGTCTATCAAAGCTGCTCCAGAGGTGGGAAGAGGAGAGAGGTTAAGGAGGGAAATTAGCCTGAGGTGACTTGACTGCCTCCACAGAATGAATAAGCACTTTGGGTCCTTACCTGTGACAGAGAGAGGTTGGCACTTAGGTGATGCCCACGCCCCCACCTACCCTCCTCCCTAAGTCCCCTGGAAGAAAGCAGGAGCCTGAGAGTGCACGCTATCTCTCTCTCTCTCTCTCTCTCTCTCTCTCTCTCTCTCTCTCTCTCTCTCTCTCTCTCTCAGGGCACTTACGTAAGACCCTGTAAAACTTCCTGTGACATTCACAGAAAATGTAAGCTGCTATGTCGCTCCCTCGGGAGATCATTTTAATGGACCCAGTGACAAAATTCACGGATTCAGAATAGAGCAGAAAGCTGCTCAAGCGAGGTACATCAGCACAGGACAGGAGGGAAAAAAAAAATCCATCCCCATTAAACAGGGTCACCCAGGGGATGGATTCAGTGTGCGAGAGACAATCTGTTCCCTCCAAAGTGACCCATTTAAAATCTGATTGTTCTGGAGGAAGCTCATAGGTTTAATAAATTTGAGACAGCCAAGGACAGGCTTGTAGAACAGAGGTGACTTAGAAGCATTTAAGTGAAGGTAATAAAGGTAATGAACAAAATAACTTGAGGTGTACAAACTTTGTGGAGTCCTCACTGTAACTTCGGGCAGCAGTGACATTCAGGAGAATGATCAACTACAGATTCATCTCTTCGTACGAGCAGCTCTGTCTAATAGGACAGGCATGCTGGCTGAGTTGTCCACCAAAGACACAGCTCCCAACCAACCACTGTGTTCTAAAGAGACACTTGCAAACTGTGACCACACATCCCCAGATTGCCCTCACTGCAACACGGAGCAAAGAAAAGTTCACAGCACCATATTGAAGCAAAGCATGTGAGAAGCTCGAAGAAAAACCTATGGAAACACAGCAGGCTTCCCAAAGCACAGGTGCTCATAGTCAAGACCAGGGAGAGGGGGCCAGGGTGGGGACAAACCCTCTCCAGGGGTTAATGGAGAAATTGATCCTTTGCCTGGCGCCTGTGAGCCTAGGAGCCTGCTAGAACCCTGAGAAAGATGCTGGGATGGGGAGAGGGGACACTGGGGACTCCGGGGTCTTCCAACTCCATTCATTCCAAAGCTCCCAGCCTAGGCAAGCGCCAGTTCTCCATCCTCTCTCCCAGTATCCGGAGCACAAGGGGTACCAGCCACAGGTTCAGAGAACTTTGGCCAGCGCTGCTCACCAAAGCGCCCCCGTGTTGGCTCTCCCCGGTACCCTGGGGCTCTTACCTTGACCGGGAGTGCCCCCCCGGGCAGAGAGAGACGGCAAAGAACCGGGCTGCGTGGAGATGCCGCCGCCTGTCACACGCAGGGGGGGAGGGCGTCTAGATCGGGGTCCAGGCTGGCGCTGCCCCAGTCCCAGCGCCGATACCAGACGAAGTCCTCCGGACAGCCCGGGGCTTCAAACGCCGCGGGGAGGGTCCGGGTCGCCCAGGCTGAGCACTGTCCCTTCTTCTCCTTCTTCTCCTTCTTCCTCCGGGGCCGCTGCTTGGAGCTGCTCCGGGCCGGGAGAGCTCTTCCAGGCCGGGGGCGCCCCGCATGAGCAGGAGCCCGGGTGCGCGCGTAGGGCTGGGTCCCGGGAGCAGCGGCCGCCGGGCCGGCTCCACCTCCGGTGCTCCCCGCGGCTTCGCCCCTTCAGGGCAGGGCCTGCCCGCCACCCGCCCGGCGAGGCGACTGCGGCCGCGCCCCCAAGCTCAGGGCGCCCGGCTCGGGCGCAGCGGCGGGGCAGAGGCGGCTCGTTCGGGCCGGGCGCCCGGTGCGGTGGCGGGCGGACCGAGGGGCGGGCGGGCGGGCGGGCGGACGAGGGGGGGGGGGCTGCAGCCGGCCGCCGCTCCCCCTCCCCCCGGGCCTCCGCCGCCCGCCCGCGGCTCCGCGGAAGACGAGCGCTGGAGAGGGCCTCGCCCCGGCCTGGGGCGCGGGGCCGGGGGCGCGGGGCCGCGGGAGGCGCCCCGGGAAGGTCACGGGAGGCGCGGAGGGGGCGGTGGGTGCGGGGAGCCGATGCGGACGGTCCCCGCCGACCCGAGCGCTCGCTGGCCTCGGTCGCCGCCGCCGCCGCCTCCGAGACGCGCCGGCTTCCCGGAGCGCTCGGAGCTCAGCGGCCGCCGCAGCCGCGGCCGGCAGCCCGGCGCCGCGGGCTGGAGCCCGAGCGCGATCCCCGCCTCCCGCGACCAGCCAGGCGGGGTTCACCGCGCGGGGACCGGCGGGGGGTGCGCGCTGGCGGGCGCTGCCGTGCTCTGGGTTCCGGGCTGGCCGCTGCCGCCGCCGCGTGCCCCGCGCCCCGCGCGCCCGGCTCCCTCAGCAGCTGCAGTGACTGTGTGGCGGTGTCAGGTCCGTGCAGCTGGGGGGGTGGGGGGTGGGGGGGTACCGCGAGCCGCGGCCGGGTTCCAGCGGAGGCGGGGCCGGCGCTCGCCTCTGGGCCCGCCCCTGACCCCGTGACGACGCGCCTGGCCAATGGGCAGCGCCGGAGCCGCGCGGGCCGAGACCCCGCCCCGCATAGGCTCCGCCCTTCAGCCGGGCCCCGCCCTCGGCTTCTGGGGCTCGCCGGCGCGCGAGGCGGAAACAACACCCGGAGCCGGGATCCCGGGCCGGGTCGTGGTGGCAGGGTGCTAGGCGGGCGGCTCCCCTCCCTTCTCTCCACCACATCACCCCGGCCGCTCCCGGCCGCCTGGGGCTTGGCTGGCCAGTAGGAAACGGGGCGGGGAGGGGGGCGGTGGAGGGGGAGGGAAGCGGGACCGGTCGGCAGCTGCCGCTGTGGGAACGCTGGCGCGCGCGCGCAGGCCTCGGACCCCGCAGCCGTCGTGGGAAGTAGGAAGTTTCCCCGCCTCCACCTTCCGCTGGGGTCGCGTTTCCCCTCGGAAACGCGCCGTGGTGGGGCAGCCCGAGACGGCGAGGGCCCCCGGGAAAAGGTTTGACTGCGTCTGCTTGGGTTCTGTATCCCAGAATCCGGTCCAAGACTCCCCGGTTTGGGGGAGGGGGAGGAGGGAGGGGGGTCCGGAGGAAAATCCGAGATGTTCACCCCCCCAGCACACACGCGCGCACACACGCACACACACTCCTCCCCGATCTGGATGTGTTCTCGCGCCCTCCCTGCTGGCGCCAGAGCCCCGCGCGCACCGACCACCCGTCCCCGTGAATGGACACTCGGGGCGGCGCGGGGCGGAGGGCGGGGGGGGGGGGGGCGGGGGGAGACAAGTCCGACTCCGAGACGATGCTCCTCTGGGCGCACAGTCCAGCTCCCGGGTTTTTCCTCAGCTCAGTCCCAAGGCTTCAGAGGGTCCCCTTACTTCCTCCCCCCTCCCCCCGCCGTCCCAGGTCCCCCACCTCTCCAGAGCCCTGCGGGCCTCCCCGATGGTTTCTGTGCCGTCTTCTTCTCTCCAAAACTCAGTCCAGTCGGCGGGAAAGCCCACCCGAGTTCTTGGAAGGGGCCCGAGGAAGGATGGGGCGGGGGTTGCGCTGGGAGAAACCTCTGAGACCCCCTACTTGTGCTGACCACGTTCCCCTAGATCGAGCTGCGTCCTCCCCCAACCCCCCCCCCCCACACACACACATACACCTCCAGGCTTGAAGGGGTCCAGTCCCTCCCTACTGGAACCTGGGTATGGCCTGGGTACTCACCTTCTCGGCCCTGAGTTTGGCCCAGCCAGGACCCTTTCCCCGTCCTACCTTCACTCCCCAGCCTGCTTCAGTCCAGACCCTGAGCAGCAGCAGCAGCAGCTGGTGCCCACCCCACCCCCAGCTCCAAGCGCGGTTTACCTAATCTCAGTGGCAGACCCAGCCGAGGAGAAAGCGAACAGAAGGTAGCTGTTGTCCAGCAGAGTCCCTGGCGAAGAAGTGAAAATTAAAAAAAAAAAAAATCGTTTGCTTTGGGGCTTCAGGATAAGTTAACTGCGAGACTGAGGTCCTGCTGGCTGATCTCTGCGAGGTTGAGCCTCACCGCGCACGATCCTGGGATAGGAGATCCGGATCGTATCTGTTTTTTGATGCCATTACAGTGTCGGAGAAGAACATTATATGATAAAATATTATCTAATATCCTAGAGACCATTAAAGTGTCAAAGTTTAATGCCAAGCCTTTTAGCTCAAGGCAGCTCAGCTCTTATTCTGACGTGGAGTTCTGTGCTGGAACGTTCAGACAACAAGGGGAGCATTTTTAATATTTTGCGGGCCGAAATGCCCTTCCTCCCTTCCTACTCTCTTCCTCCTCCCCGCACTCCAGCCCCCCACTCTGCAACCTGGCAAAGTTAAACCAAGAATCTGTGCTTTCTTTTTATTTATGGCCTTGCTTCACTTCATTAATGGTGTAAAATGCATTATTACAATACATTAGCATATTAATAAGGGGAAGGGAAGAGAGACTTGAAATTTACAAGCAAAGGAGAAATAATTGAATTAGATCGGAAACTAAAAGATAAGCATGTGGGCAAAGAAACATTCCCATTATAATTACCCAAGTGGAGTACATTCTCTAGATCTTAGAAAAATATGACCATGGAAAGATGGGGAGAGGGAGAGACATGTCTATTCTGGTCATTGAGATATATTGAGATCACATCTCATCACTAAGGGATTTCACAAAATTTACTAGCATCGGGTCAGTAAGCACCTTGAATGTGGAAAAGCCTTGCGGTATCGATTCAAGAAGGTTGCAGGTTTTAAGTCAGTGGCTGATCTAATGCTCTGAATGGTAGGAATAGTGTTGATTGAAATACTAGACAAATTGTGAAATACTAGACAAATTGAACTGGTTTGTTTAAAACATGTCAAGATTCAAATCTTATACATCCCTTTGAATAATTGTTGAAAGCTCCTGAACTCCCTAGTCCAAGTAAATTGTGTGTTTGTGTGTGCTTATATCTATATATGACCACAGATGTATATCGATGCATAAATATATACATATATATGTATATGTATGTTTCATCATAGAAACCAACTGCTATCCACTTATCTCTACACAGTTGTTGCACCTGTCACTGAAGAGATTCTGAAAGGTCTCCATTTATTAGGGTCAAGGAGACCTCCTCTTAAATAAATAAATAAATAAAAAGAGGTCTTAAAAGTACCACTAGGGGGCACTAAAAGCATCTCAAAGAGGTACAAATTCACCTCAGTTATTCTTGGTCTCATTTTCTAAGTACCTAATGAAACTGGAGTCTAAAAGCAAATACATGGTATGAAGACCGATCAGGCCTTCTCTTTTAAAAGACGTGTCCAATTTGACTCATGAGGCAAGAATTTTGTTCTCCAGCTCTTCTCACCACACACACACACACACACACACACACACATTCTTAAACATCCCAAGTAATTGTACCTTTCTAAGAAAGACAACTGTCCCAAGATTTGGGGAGTGCCTTCTAAATATTTTGCACATTGTTTGGTTGGATGATTGGATCCTCTCTGGGAGGATATTTAACTACATGTGTGTCAGTGCACCTACGTGGGCCAGTTTAAGTGAAGTCAAGCCGGCTGTAGGGGCACAGCAACAAAACAGAGTGGTGAAAGCCCAGATGGAACAAGGCATTTATTTTTTAGTGCTGGGTTCTTTGGAATGACAGTGGTGTTTGTGGGAGGGGCCAGTAGGTATAGCAGGAGTGGTCAGGACTTCCCTGCCAGGCGGCATAGACGTTGCAATATCTCAACGATGATGTTATTTGTCAGAACAACTAAATATTCCATCTGGTTCTTCAGAAAGCTACCCCAAAATGTTTTTGTATACTACACTATCTAATAAATTTACAAGGCTTCAAAATCCTCAGCAGTTACATAATATCTTCTCCACATCATCCCAGTAAGGTTAAAGATGTTGTAGATGAGAGTTGGGAGATAAACAGCGTTAACATAGAGAAGCCTAATTGTCGGTCAACCAATGCTGGAGAAATATGGCAAGTGTGTTCTATGCACACATGTTTCAAGTGAAAATTTAAGCACCAAGCATGACACATCCCTCCAGCATTCAAGCCAATAATCAAAAGACATTCCTGAGCAAAACAAAATGCCTCTATCAGGGCTAAAATGGGAGAATAGCACTTCGAAGCCAAAGAATGTTGCAAAAGCCACCAAATTAGCACTAATGGAAGTGTGATTTGAACATCATTTAACTAGAAACAAAACAAGGCCACAATTAAGACATAAAACATGAAGTATGGAGTGGGGGAGGGTGGTAGATGAGAATAAAGTCTTCCTTTGTGGATTGAAAAAAAATACTTTGTTCCTATCGTCTTGTTCATTAAGCAAGCTAGATACAGGTATTCTCAAAATAGCATTATTAACTTCCAGAAAGCTTGCTGCCACAAACCTCAGAGCCAGCTAATTAGAATGGATTTGGCTCTAGATGGAGGAACCCATTGTGTTAGAAGAGAAAGTTTATTTACTCCCTTATGAGCTGTGAAAGTCCATCAGAGTAAAACCTTGTCAGGTTTGTAGCTCCCAGATCTCCTTATGAAGGATGCTGAACTAGGGAAGTGAACTACCTCTGGAGACAGAAGAAAACATCCCTGCTAAAGAGGACAACCTAAATGACAGAATGAGCTTATATTCCCAGGCTCTAACCCCCATGAGGGAAGGGGATTTCAGGTGAGTTGGCTTAAGACTCTAGGGCAAAAATGAAAAAAATAAATAGCCCATAGGCAAAGGTACC